ATGGATAGTCAGGTGTTCACCAGAAGTAAATCCTGACAAGAGTGTGGCGATGCAATTAAATAACTATGATGATTCACATCACCATACAGTATTTGGATTCGTGCTACCCAAAGTAAGAAACTACAAAGATTTGGGAGTCATACTAAACGGTGATCTAAAAACCACCAGTCACTGCAAGGCTGTTGCTGCAAAAGGCTAAAAGGTATTAAGGTTTATTCGTAGGTCTTTCCAGTATTTAGATTGAAAATGACACAGGTATTCAGTGTTCGACAACGCTTTAACCAGTAACACCTTCTACTATAATTCGTTCCCACCCAGAGAAATCAAAAGACAGAGTAGCGGAGATCGGAAGAGTGTGTTTGGCGATTACCGATATATCGAAATTCTCTGATCTAATCTGGATAGCGATTGCGGTAGATGTTGAGCATAGCGTTACCACACGTGATCTGGTGCAGATGCATGACCGAGCGCCTTCAGCTAGATGAATCCACTAAAGCATATGGTCAGCATCCAATGTCGAAAACTTAGAGCTATTTATTTCGGGGATTTATTTACCGCTACAAGATGACGAACTGTTCAGATTATTATACCCGACTTCCGTGAGACCACATTTGTAACTTATTTCCGTTATCTTACCGTAGAATACGGGGTGATCTGATATTGGCTTATCGTATACTGAACGATGAACTTGGTATTATTATGTCATATATTTTCCTTCCGTCTAGGACTGGTCGTTTGAGAACGTTTCTATAAAGTTCGGAAATCGAGATCAAATCGTCTACGTCTAGAATTTCGTTTCTCGTACCGAGTAGTGCATTAGTGTAATTCGCTTTCAGAACACGTAATATCAGCACCTTCTGTTGATATATATTCAAAACGAGATTGAACCTCCACAGTGTTACAAAATGCCAGGATGAATATAGGTCGATAGACCTCATATAATTATTACCGAAGACTGAAGTAAAGAGTTAAGTAGCCGGCTATACTTGCTAAGATCGGTGGTTTTGTTGTTTTGTCATACGAAGTTTTACATCATCCGTCAAAATGGTAAAAATAAACCATATCAACAACCTTGAACGACTAATCAGCCAACCAATGGACGCTACTTAGTTATAAAATTAATAAACAATAAACACCAATGAAATAAAAGTGAAATAATATAGTTGTTCTAAACAGTTAACCCTAAAATGTCAAGTTGTTTCTTGTAGTATCGGCAAATTTCAATTTTACACTTTAGAAGTCAGGCTATCACTCCATAGTTTTCATCACCATATAACGTCAGTTGTAAAACGAAATTATTAGCATTATGTATCAACAGGGAAGCTGGAGTTTTGAGTTAGTTTTTTGCATTACGGTTAGAATTTTTAATCATGAAATGATATTGGCTATGATGCAATGCTTTACCACCGTTTCCCAATCTCTCGATTCTTGGGAAATCCTCAAATTTCAATGATCGTTCCCCCCAAATTCTGTGAAAATATTAGGGGAAAAACACAAAATTTTGGGTTTTAAACAATCATTATGTAGTGAACAGAACAAGAGTGGGGACAATCGAACGTATTTAACACAAAATTACAGGACTTGTTACCAAAATCTAACAATCATCAAGTACTTAATTTGTAAAAATATTCATCAGTTGTCTCAAAATGACTCAGACTTCATTGTCCTTGCATTTTCATATAAATTGCATTCTGTCTCGATTCTTTACTGTTCGACCCTCTTGTCTCTCTGCTGCTAAACATTCTGTTCACGACTAACATCACCTACTACTTATGTCAATATAAGTAGCACACACCACAAGTATAGACAGACTTCCGAAAGTTGTATAAAATTCTGAGGAAATCTCCAAAATTTTTGTGTATTGTGCCATTTCCCTAAAACAGAAAATTTTTTCCTCAAAATAGGGAGATTGGGTTCGGTTTACAAACTTACGAGACCTACGGTTGAGATTTAGAGTAAGGGTTAATAAGGTAGAACACTATGTTGCTTCAACAAACACTATTGATTATTCGTTGAATCACATCCAATACTGTAGCACACCATCTACTTTAGGAGCACATATATTTCAAAATTTAGCTTAGGCATCATCTTAGATTAGATTTTTGGTTGCATAATAGATACTTTTATTGATTTCAAGCAATTTAAGAACCAGTTATTGGCAATTCATGCTTAATTAATCATGGTATACAAACTATGCAACTGCACATAAAAGTTCACGCTAAATACATGAGGCGTTATCTTGTTTCTGATTGATCAACTCACAGCCATCAGCGTACTGTGCTTCTATCGTCGAACACTCCAAAGGTTATCACACATTCATACTAGATATCTCCCTACATATAAAATGTGCAACAATTCACAGAAAGTTCGACTGTCCTCAGAAGTTATGTTTGTCATTTATCCACCCCGCCCAGTTATGATAATGAACATGGAACAAAATGCAAAAAACAGATTACATTGAGTTACATTTAAATAATGATACCATTTATTCCTGGCACCATGTGTTTCATAAAAACTATGCAATATGTCCAGGTGTTTATTATTTCAATAGAACGAGCAGATTGACCAATCGCTACAGTAAAGCCCGGAAATTACTCATTTAGCATTTCATTCTGTATACATAGTGTAAACGAACTTTGGCAAGTGAAAACTAAGGAAGGTGAATTCTGTTTACAGCACACATCAAACACTTTATTCACAGAAATAATTTGAAGCTACATTGGTAGATCTATAATATTCTATTTGTTTAAGTAGAGAATTCTTACCTTTGGTATCTCGTAGGATATGAACACGATATATTATATACAACCAAGACTTAACATCATACTATTTATCAGCAATACAAGTAACTTATCATAAGTGTAATTAAGCAACTTCATACACAATTGTTTTTGCTTCCTAGCTCATATTATTGAATTCTCCAGTATTGAAACAAACAAGCTTATACCCTCCATCAGACATGGTTAACACACCTATGACAACGAAAAAAATTCCTAGAAATTTTAAAATAAAAGTGTGTGATGTATCAAGAGTGTTATTATTATGCTCCTTGAGCTGGCTTTGGAATACACAAAACTTACCAGCAATTCACCTTATCCATCTATTTTAACCTATAAGCCTGGTTCATTCATGGTGTGTAACCCAGACTAATATGTAAGATATAAAACACATATAAAATTAAAAATACACTCAATATTATTAAAATGTCTTGACTAATCACTAAACTAACAGAGTATGTAACATTTGATGTACAAATGACAGCATGAAAAATAAGTGTCATAAGAAGTCGACGAAATCAATCTCTGCTCAATACAATAGATTCTCTAAGTTTAAGACGAGAACCAATTGGCTAATAATTCAGTTTAATGCAATAGATAGATGTTAATAGTCAAATCATGTCCAAGTTGATGGAATAGTAGAATTAACATATGTATTAACAGTAGTAATAGGACATTCGAACCATTTAAACAAAATCATGTAATCAGAATTCCGAACTTTTGATTCGTATAATTTTAGTGTTCAGTTAGACAGATCAAAAAATTCGATACTATTTTCGATGAGTCTCTAAACTTTAGCCTACGTAAGTTATAATATTTAGTCTAAATGTCTGAGTAAAGACTGAATTAATTGATGTTGCCTGGTTTATCATGCACACTTCAGTGTTCGTGAATTTCAGTATCATCTTGTGAACTAAAATACGATTTCAGTTGTTAAAACTGGATAATGTGAATAATTCAGTTTAATAAAAAAATCCATTCATTGTCTTCGTGAGTTTACACATTGAAGGATAAGACAGTTTTAAAAATCGATATGATTGCAATGAATTGGACAAAATGCAAAAAAGATGAGTTGATCGAAACAAATATCCAAAAACAATGTAGAAGGTTTAATAACGCGCCTAGGAATCACAAAATGAAGAATCATGATAGGAAACGCTAGGAATTGAAGATCGACTCTTGTGACACAAATAATGCTTACTACACATAGGTTAGGAGAACGTAAAAATTGAAGGTAATTATCAGGTGATAAGATATTTTAGTCATTCAATTTCCAATGTAGGGATCATTTCACGTATGATTTACAAACGAAAATATCAAGCAACGGGAAAAATATTGCCGCCATTAAATGACGTTGAACTACTCGGATTACCTTTTGCATACATCCCCGTTTTATGGAAGAAAATGTACGGGAAAATCACTGAAATTCATTCGCTTACTTATATTGCATTGACAGACTGAAAAAAGTATTAGGTGTTACTTAATAATATATGAATTACCACGAATAACATTAAAACATGAAATGCTTTTCTTTAAAAAGGGAGTACTCGTCAACTGAATATTACATCAGTAACAACAGGTATGTGTATATTTGCGCTCATAGAGAAGTAAACTAACATGGAGTTTAAGTATTTTGTACTTTAAATTAATAGGTATTATCAGAACATAATTAATCGTTAAGTGGTAAAAAACCAAGCATAAACCCCTTAGTATTCGGTGTGTAGCATATTGTAAATGAAAAGACTCACATGGCACAGTAATCCCACTTGTCTTGTTTTTCAGCAATGAGTCTCCGTCTTTCGTAAACAGTATGACTGAATGATTATAGTTAGCTATTGGTACTTGCTATGATTACAGTTGTATCATGATGCACCTGAATGAACTTTAGACGAATTTTTTTATTTATTAGCGTTATGCAATAAATAATATTGGAGAGTTCTGCTTCGAATTAAGAATCATATAGCATGGAAGTGATACTTTTGATTACAATGATATACAAAGGTGTCAATTAGATTTTATAAAATGAAGTAATTTTTATCAATTCAGTCGGATTCCGCACTTTGTATGCTTTCGTTATAAAATACAACACTCAATTTCAAGGACTTACCATTTGTTAGATAGTTGCGACTGACATTCTAACCATAACCTCACCCCTAATGCCTATAGAATGATTTACTGATGATTCATAAACATGTTCACCAAACATCAGTAACAAATAAGTTTATAGCAGATCTACAATGTATTTATTAAACGCGGCTAAAAAATACTAGATACAAAAGTTAGGACAGCACAAATGAAGAGTCAAAAACTGTTTAGGAAAACGATGTAAAGAAGAACCGATCATTCTACAATAAACATATAATTATAATTAAAAGTTTATTGGGAAGAATTTTTATCTAACCTGAAGGTTTTTTTTAAATAGACGAGCCGATGAATTATCGTTCTGTCTCAGAAAATACAAAGAAACAAATAGTGAACGATTAAAAAAATTCACGACAACAGTAATATAACAGATAATTTTCCAGTATTTAGTTATTTTTGATACGGAAAATTTAGAAAATCAAAGAAAAGGTTATATATATATAGCTTAAATGAGATCACACACGGAACATTGCACACACTCAACAGACAACAGCATAAACGCTGGGTTTCTATGAATTCAAGTATATTAGGGAATGATACAAAGGGCGTAATGGTTTGATTCAATGAAATCTAACAAGTATGTTGATAAAAGATAATTGGGTATGATCAGTCATCGTAAAAATAACCAATATATATGGGAAAACGTAAACTGAAAAATATACAACAAGTAAATAGTGTGTATTGAATGCTTAATAACTGTTAAACAACAACATCAATAGTAATAATAAGGAGCAAATCGTTTTAAGTAGTATTTAACTATATTGATAGTTTGTGTACAAGAAGTAATTTAAGTAAATGAAGCAAATAAAAATATGAGTTTCATTTCTTTGTTGTATTCCAAAATAATCAAACCAACAAATGGCAAAATATAATACGAATTTACTAATGTATGTGTACATTAAATGTATTTGTTGAAAAACAATTTTAAACATAATAAAATTATTTAATTGAAATTAATGAGAAAATGCTAATTTAATGTTGTACCATGTAGACTGAAACTATTAGATGCCGAATTTGTAGAATGAATAATTGTAAACTGATCTGAATTAAGTATATTCATAGATTCAGATAGTGTAGAACTATTACCTGTCTCTGATGGTACATCTTCAACAACAGCAGTTACATAACATTCTTTAGTACTTGATGTACTGGATGATTGTTGTTTGGAATTAATTAAATTTGACTTACATTGATCAAATTCATCTGTATTGACACTAGGACTGTTTGAAGATGTAGAATTAGTTGTATAATATGAAGGAGAACTGTACGAAAAACGATTAATTCGTTTATTACTATTAGACTGTGGATAAAATGTATTACACCAGTGGCGAGTAAACCAATTACGAAATGCATTTACAGACGATTGGTCATTTCGAGGAGGAATGTTACTATTAAGAGGTTTATCAGGATGAAATATATTTTTAAAATTTATTATACGCAAATTACGCTGATTCATTGGATATTGTGACGAATTTAAATTAACTGGATTATTGGTGGGACAAGTTGCCTGTGGTTGTTCTACAGACAGATTTGTCTGCGATGTCAAATGTCCTGGACAGTTAGTGTAAATAAAATTCATTTGATGTATTGATAAAATCTAAATGTAGGATAGGAGGAAATAGAGAACGGCACAAATAGCTTTTAAGAAAATCGTTTAACTGTTTAGCTTTTAAAAAAAATCAAATCATCTAGAAAGATGATAATTCTAAATAAACATATTAGGAGCTTGACTAAATATGTAGAGTTTAGAAATCTAATAACTAAAATACTTGTCTTTTAAAACCTATTAATTATTAGGATGAGCCAAATAAGTTAAAATATAAAATTCTGAAAGCTGTTCTCTGAGTTATTAGTATACATATACATAAACATTTTAATTTGTATTTACCAAACTGGTTTATGATATTTTTACACAGTACAAGCAGTAACTCAGTCAAACATAATGTAAAACCTGGCACATGTGTACATAGGTTCAGTTTGCAAAATCCACTTAGCACAGCGAGATGAAACTGTCAAGGCAAATTCCAGAGAAGTAGAGCTTGTAACAGAATTAATGACAATAAAAACATTAGGAATTCAAGATACAACGCGAGAAAACATAAATTAATGAAGTATTAAGATAAATATATGAGGAATTTGGAAATTTAGGATCTAAGCGAAGATAGAATGGATATACCTTGCGCTAATGAGAACCATTCGATCCATGTCGTTCAAAATCGCTTGTCATTGGTTACGATAAACATGCTGACCGCAAACCACCTACATGGCTCACTAGAACAGTCAGTGACTGATCCAATGTCTTGGTTTGGATGTCCCTAAATTCTCTTCTATCTATTCCTATTTTAGCCATCGTTGGGCGCCGCGGAAGCCCGTGGACAGATATACGTAATACATGTCCCAACCGTTCCAGTCGATAATGAGTTATTGTCTCGTCGATTCCTTTCCCATGCTTACCTAGTACTCTGCGTCTAACTCTAGGATTGTTAATTTGATGGTCCTAAAATATACCTGTGACCGAATACTAGTAACCTATGAATATCCTCTATTCTTAATGGTCATGATCCACACCCATAAAGTAAAACAGTGAACTATTGTGCGGTAAACTCGTTCTTTTGTGCCAGAAGGACATCTTGTCTACGTCATAAGTGATATAAGTTGGTAAAAGCCAAGTGGGCTTTCTGAATCCGTTCCGGGATCTCGTCAGGCAACATCCTACCGGATGTAATGAGGTTTCCAAAATAAGTAAAATGCTCCCAAATGCCCTGGTACGGCCGAGAGTGGAGAGAGTCCGCTCTCCCTCTATAAATGCTCTCACATGGCCATGTACATACAACCACTGCCAGGGAAGTCCTACTCACTGCCTTCTCGTGGCGGCGGTGTTGTTTACGAAATTGAGAGGACGAAAAGCGAACGTCCGGCGCTTTAACCGGGTTGGTGGACATAGAGAGTTCACCTAGGGCAGTTGGAAAACCCTGACTCCAAACCAATGGTGCACATGGGCTCCAGGATCCTGAGGGAACAAATGGTGTATGAACCAATCGTTGATCACCGGCTACCATGGGACTGCATCTCCTTACGTCTCTCCACTGCCTTGTGGACCAGACCTTTAGGTCGAAGGCTCCGGGTGTGGTCTCCTAAGAAAACCACCTGCTTTGGTTTAGGCACCCGGGCAGTATCACAGCCCTCACACATATCAAATAAGATCTGTGTGGCGCATATGTATTTGGTGCCTCCTTGTATCTATGTTCATATGTTTAAATAAATAAATAAATCCAAAATAAGTGGTGATAAATATACTTAACTACTTCACTCCCTATTACTAGTTCAGATGTTGGTGCAGACTAGTCCTGAAGTAAAATTTTGAATTTAGATAAAAAGAAATGAATCTCAAACATACTCGCACTGTTACCTAGAGCCATTAGAAAAATGGATCTTTTTCGGTGTCTTCACCAAACAACTATATCTCCTGAGGATTCTAAGTCAACAAGAGAATCTTCTGGTAGAGCAACATTTTATAATCCCTTCCTTACGTTATCAGAAGAGATTTTGGTTGTCCAAGCGAAACATGTTACTATCACAATACGCCAGTATAGTTAAAAGTACGGTGTTGTATTTGAAATTCATGTTGCGATAAATGCATTTATTGAAATAAAATGCAGTCAATACAATAAAAACATTGAACACTTACCTCTGAATCATGGGTGGTTGAGCATAATGGACCCGTTAACGATTGAGTGGTCGAAGTTGTTGCCTCTTTATTATTATTAGACATGGATATTGAATGACCAGTTAATGAGCCTACTGTTGCGGTCACAACAGAACATGTTTGATGAAATATATTGCTAAGGAATGATTCGCAGACCATAAGCGCTCTAGGTTGACATGATTCTGATATACTAACAGATGTAACAACACATACTGGTAAGAGATTTGTGCTCCATACAGACGAAGTAGCCAACTGCTTTGGAGGGAGAGATAAATTTGATAACAATGGGATGGTAATACTGCTTGTCATACTACGATTTGGTAGAGTTATGTCATCATTTTGAATGAGTGGAGCTGAAACTGGATTTTCAAGACTCGACTGTTCATTCGTCTTAGGGAACGACTGAGCATGAATTATTATCGAATCGGTAGCATTGGCGAAACCATTAGTACCAGTTAGTACGACATAAGTCACTGGAGATCCATGTGCGACTGTCAGTAGGTTACTCATAATTTGTGGTTGACTTGTAATTAACGAAAGGCTTTCTATCACAGAAACATCATTACTCGTTCGTGGGCTGGAAAAATTGCCCGTTACCAGATTAGAGAAAGTTGAACAAACTGAAGATATGGATAAAGTTGGACCAGAGGTAGAGAGTACTTGATTAGATAAGCTTTCCAAGTTTGTATAACTGCAAAACAACTCCGCGCGAAAACCATATGCTTGTAAAATATCCAGTTTGCACATAGGACAACTACGTTGTTCCAGAAGCCAAGGATCAATACAAAGTTTGTGAAAGTAATGTCTAAAAAAAGTGACCATCACGAAAAAGGATTTAAGCGATGAAATTTCACAAAAACAAAAGTAAAAGATTAAGTCGAAATAGTATCCTCCCCAAACATTGAAAGGTCACATAGTGATAACAATATTCATTGAAATTAAATACTATTTAATGATCCAGCTAAAATCATTTAGTCTAATGACAGAAATTGAAATTTCATATTAAGCTTAGTGCTAAATGGTAAGAATCCTAAGTGAATTTAATATTTCATGTGTCAACATATTCAATTATTTTAATCTTTCTAACACAGGTAAAAGAAATCCAATATTGTAGCTTTAACTATTTTATTAGATTTTAAAAGATTTTGGTAAACTGATGAACTTTCCCTTTAGCTAGGATTTTTGTTGAAAAAACAGTAGCATTTTGTCCAACGTTTTTGTAAGTTGAGTAAAACAGTAATCAAGTACGATTAAATTAAACGAATATAGGTAAAATACTAAAATTCATTATTCATTTAATTTAATACATAGATATTGGTACAAGGAGGCACTAAATACATATGCGCCACACAGATCTTATTTGATATGTGTGAGGGCTGTGATACTGCCCGGGTGCCTAAACCAAAGCAGGTGGTTTTCTTAGGAGACCACACCCGGAGCCTTCGACCTAAAGGTCTGGTCCACAAGGCAGTGGAGAGACGTAAGGAGATGCAGTCCCATGGTAGCCGGTGATCAACGATTGGTTCATACACCATTTGTTCCCTCAGGATCCTGGAGCCCATGTGCACCATTGGTTTGGAGTCAGGGTTTTCCAACTGCCCTAGGTGAACTCTCTATGTCCACCAACCCGGTTAAAGCGCCGGACGTTCGCTTTTCGTCCTCTCAATTTCGTAAACAACACCGCCGCCACGAGAAGGCAGTGAGTAGGACTTCCCTGGCAGTGGTTGTATGTACATGGCCATGTGAGAGCATTTATAGAGGGAGAGCGGACTCTCTCCACTCTCGGCCGTACCAGGGCATTTTAGGGCAACTAAAATTCATATTCTTTATATGATTCCTGCGTTTTCCTCATGAAGTAGTAAGTTGTATATTACTTGCGTATTCTAGTTCTCCTCTATTATTGATTCTCCCAACAATTAATACACCGTTTTATTTTGTTGCTTAGGGTCAAACATTAACTGTAAATATAAAGAATTCCCAAAACTCCTTTACTTTTATCTTAATAGTTTGTTTACAAAGGATGAGCTTTTGTTTCCGTTTGCTTATCGGGTTAGTTTCAGAGTTGTGCTGGATATTGTTGACCATTTATAGATTGAATTAAGCCTGTATTTTTCTCTTTGATAAATCTTTTTTTTTCACTTCCTACATTGTCTTGATAGTCATTAAAAAAGCAACGGGTAGGGATTGGAGGATACACTCCAACGAACTAGGATGCATCCCAAAAGAACAATTGTGATGAAGTTATTCGTGAACAAAACGAGTACTACTAACATCACACCAAACACCATTGGCTCTGTCGTTGGTAACACTGACAGTATAGCCGATTTTCAGTATCATATACTTAACAAATTTATTACCTTGTTTTGATGATAAGACACTTATTCAGAACCGATTTCGCTAGTCAGGATTGTAAATGAATGTCTTCAGACAGTAATCTAATGACTAATTACCTTTCTTTAACAAATAATACCGTTTTCTGAAGCTCCAACTAATTGAAAGCAACAACCTCGTGACATGGAGACATACTTAACCCTGAGTGTAACTAATCAAGAGCGTGATACCACATTAAGACATTCTGCATACTAAGTTTAACACTGTCAAATGATGTAAGTAAAATATTATTTCAACAACAAAAAAACAACTTGAAAATGATTCGTTACAAAATGACGTCAAATAGAGGAAGATTAAAAATTGAGAAACATTGAACAATTGTTTCGATCTAGTTTCGAACTCCTTAACAGAGTGCAACTGGGTTTAAACAATTGGATTTACTCAGTTCTATTGTTTTCTCTACACAATTAGTTGAACAGTGAACGAAACATAACTAATTATTAGCGGTGAATATGGTTCCCAACCAAATAAATCTTACTATACTAAACTAGAGATCTGGACACCAGTCGAGTTATCATAGATTAACTTATTCTAATTTAAACCGATAAGAACCCGATTCTGAACGAGATATCTTACAATCTTCACCATCATTTTTTGTAACTTTTCAGTTGTTCAAATTCAGTATTCGTTAACCGTATTATTAATGACATTATTCGAAAACTCAGATTCAGTTTTAATTGAAAAGGACAACTAACCGACAAGGAAGAATGCGAATATTATCCATTGCTTTAAAAGGTTCAATACATATTGCGCACTGTTCATAGTTCGAAGTTATTTCCTGCGGCAAAATATGAAAATTGGATATTTGTTGGTGAGAAAGCTTTTTCAAAACAATAGTAAACACAATAATAGAAATGTATGTACAAATAAACTATTATCAGGACCAATAAAGTATCTCACTTATTGGGTTAGACGTTTGTGATTACCAAACATTTATTAACATAATTAAAGATTTTGGTTATGATTTACCAGAAGCCACTAGCTGTGTGAATGTTAGGTAAAAAAAGTAGTTATAATGAGGGAATTTTATAAGTAGACTTCAAAGTAACCATTTAATCAACAGTGACAAAACTATTACTTTCTGTTCCCATTCTCCTCGACTCAATCTTCCCAACCTTTTGCTGCCAGGCGTCCCCGCTTCTGATTGGTGTTATATGCTATTTATGTCGACAAAAGTAGCATACACTACTACTACTAATAATAATAATGATAATAATAATAGAAAGGGAATTCCTACAAATAAATTGATCAGAAATCAATACCCTCTGATTATTCAATAAAAAATATTACCATACTAATAATATCCAAAAACGCAACAAAAGCTCCGTGTAGGTTAATGAGATATAGAGAAAAGTAAATATAAGATTTCTCAAGCTGATTACCATTATTTTCCTGAACTATTCTTGACAAAAAGTAATAGACCGGAAGTAAAACTGGGTATACATGAAAGATCATTTGTGAAAACCTTTTCAAACCGCAACTTCACCTGTTCTTTGACAAGCTATTCGCTCAATTACTACACTGGCACTTACCCAGCAAGCAAGTTTCTTGGGACTCAGTAGTATTGAGACTTTAAAGGTAACACTAATCTGCATCCTCGATCTTCACTACACCTTCTTTACCGGTTGTTTACCTTTTCCAAAAGTGTGAAAAGTTAAACGAGAACACTATTGTAATAGTGTAGTGTAGTCACTGACAACTTGATTTACATTTGGGGAAGTATAAGAATTAATGTGCCTAGAAATGACCAATTCAAGTGTCGAATACGTAGGTTAAGGCGAACAAGTGAAGGCATAATATGGAATAGTCTGAAGAAAATTAAGGGCTAATTTCTGCATCCAATAATTAACTGGCAATTTTACGGCCAACAGGAATATCAGAATCTAATATATCTGCACGCTTCGTACCCCCCGTAGTAGGTCTTTTAGAGAATAAATTATATTTTTGACCACCAACTTTATCAGTATGAATACATGAGTAAAGGAAATATAAAGCTTTATCTAAAACTGTTACGTCGGCTGAATAAAAAATGAAATTAACTTCTGGATATAATAAATTGTTGATTCAGTGGTTAGTGCATTGTACTACTCGATTTTCAGTCACTGAGCCGCAAGTTTTAACTCACTCGACCTACTTCAGTTAAAACAAACGAAAACTACAACAAGTTCTCATAAAAGAAAGTGTTATTCAGGACCGATGGCACGAAATATACTTTGTTATTGAGTCATTTACATGCGTCTGTGAAGATGTATGTATTACTTACGGAGTTCAAGCCAATATTTAGCAATCTAAAATTCGTTGGTGTACGAAATCGAAGCGACAACTTTAAACATATTTAAAACACTGATTATAAGGATACAAGTAAAAATTGTGGGATAAAATTACCCAATCTCCAGAATGCAGGGTTTTGATAGGTATACGTGCAACAGCTTTTTTCGCCAATTCCGTAAGTCTTCTCTGAAACATTAGAAAACAAACATTTAAAAAGCATGAATATTTACATATAATCAAACAAAACAATACCAATTGTGAAACGGAGTTTGAGATTAGTTGTGTTTAAAGAAAATATTTATCGCAAACTTACATTGACTGGAAACTAGAAAGCATGGCTACACATTTTGGGCGCTCTCCACAGGGTGCAGGATTTGATCTCAGGGGGGTTGTGGGTGCGGCTCTTTAGGAAGTCGCTAATAAGGAAAAAGCATGTCTAGCACTCCCTGATTGCCAAAGGTTTATCAGTTGATGTCAGTTCGATCAAGGAGTGCGACTATAACTAGAAAGGAAGCTTTGCATTACATTTATAGCTTGAACTAACAAAAAGCTGGATGTTCTTTCAGTAAATACAGACAAACAAACTTATTACTAACTACGAACCTATTCTTTTGTCATTAATTAATATCTACGCGGCTGTAGCTTCTGGCTTCCATCAGTGTTCGGTCCCATTCACCATGATGAACCGAGTTTTATTGGCTGTAAAGTGTGTTCGTTGGAGTACTGATATGCCAGAAAGATTCATCGGGCGGAAATGTTAAGTCTGAAAAAGAAATCGTCCTGCCAAGTGTATCAATGCAGAGAGGAAGTAGGGTTCTTTAGATGAGTAATTTGCATATCCAGTGATGCTATATTTTTCACAAACAGAAGAATCCAATGATTAACTACAAAAATGCCACACCTTCCATCACTCATGGACTTTCGATGTCAACGGTAAGGTAGTACTGAGTTAATATCAATAAAATAACCGTTGACAGGAACTATGCACCACCAGGTTCAATCAGTTATTCCTAGCTATCTAAAGTCGTCCCTAAAGGTTGATGAAACTATCAATGATTACTCCATTTCTCTTTCAGGTTTCTCGATAAAAAATCCTTTCATGGTGTGTGAGACTGAGAACTAGCAACAAAACTCAAGTTTGCAAACAGTTATCGTAATGATTGTCTAAACTAGCTTCTATCCCTGCTATGAGCTATTCTTCTCAATATTTATCTTCATTCTTGACTAGCGCTAACTACTCTGAACTATGGAATGTTGTTTCTGATCTCGAAAAATGTGCTCCGATCTACATATATCGCCTTCTATGTTTGAACATTGTGTCAAATCGGTAACGCTTCACTAGTGAGAACTGTAGGAAGTTGAGGGTTTTTTGAAAACCCCGGCAAAACACATGTGATAATTCATTTGAATTTACCAATTTATGTATAAGATATCTTCCGAAAACTGCCCTGCTTCTTTCTAAAACCCAGGTTTTTAAACAGAATTGTGGTGAATGGTTTCAACGTCCGAGTAGGTAAACAGAGTAACGCTAAAAATACATAATAGTCATCTGCCGTCAGGCAATAACTCTTGGACGATGGATGGGACGCTGAGAACTATTTTAAACAGAGTTTAGCTACTCACTAACTGTCCGATTATCAACAACCTAAATAAGAAACCAGTATTGGGCCTCCGGTCCTCAAAGTTGAAACAGTAAAAAGGAACTTGAAACGGGAGACATCGGATGGTCTGCTTGAGTTAAGTGGATAAAGTCTTTAAGTATGATAATCCAGTATGAACAGCTAGATACACTGAGATGTTGACGAACATTGAGGAACTAGATTTATTATTGATGGTCCCATTTTATAAAGAGGGTGAAAATTCCCTCGTAACAGCCTAGAGAATACGTCTGACCAATAGTAGTATTTAATATATTAGTTAACATATACGTTAGATACTATACTACAGCCTGGAACCAACAAACACATGAAAATCAAGCAAGTTTCTGATTGGTGCTTGGAACAGGGATAATTCCTGTAGACGTTTATCTCGACCTTAAAGATATACTACTATGCTAGCTACTATTTAAATTTGTTATGCCAAATGACATTCACCAAGGTCGTCTACATTATTAATCTTTATATAACTTTGTCATCGATACTACTTTCGTTTAGTCCAAGGATTAGTGCAAATTTTGTAAACTCACGAACTAAAAGTACACAGACAAAAGTTCTGCTACGCAAGGACAGTAACCTTCAAAATTGTAGTCAGTCGGTGTTTGAATATAAAACCTTGAAGTATCGTCTGGGAATGAAACCAACAGTGAAAATACACAAAAATGAGCAAACCTCAGTACGAAATGGAGCATAATGTATATCCCGAAATTCGAATTATAAGCTAGATCTGATGATAGCGATTCATAGAGATCAAGACAGTCATTTGCTAATAATTGGAAAGAACAAAAGACAAAATATGAGGTTTCCAATACAAATATTGTCACGATTTGTCGAAAAAACATCTTTTGCTTCCTAACACCACGAACTTAACAATTGTTTGAAAAAACTACTTACGGAAACTCGTTCCTTGCTGTGTAGGTACCGGAACCGCTGAACATAATAGAATACGAGCCATGCTAAACTAATCACCATAAGAAGAATGAACGAAACAGCCACAAACAAAACAGAAGAACGATTGAGAAAAGCTTCCTCAGACGCCGTTGCAGCAGTTACAACTTCAAACAAAATTTTCCCTTCTGACTTGTGTGAAATAATAGTGTTGTTGGGTTGGTTAGATATTACTCCAGTATGGTGTTCATAATTTGGCAATCCTGTGGTAGCTAATGAATCTCGACCCCTAATCGAAACCAGATTGTCACCTAAACTATAAAACCCTTTTAGTTCATACGATACACTGGTCAAATCAGTAGTGTTAAGCCCATCAAAATCCGAAAAGTTCAATTCCGCCGAACGATGCAGTCGAGAATGAAGTCCTATATCTTGCGACAAAGCAAGTTGTTCATCAAATAGTAAACCAGAAATAACTGATAATGTTGATAAATGTGAATGAAAGACACTTGGAAAGATTGTGAGCAAGGACAAACGAGGCATGGAAAGTTGCAAAACACACTAGACCATCAATACTTGATCAAGTCTGTGAAATGTCATTAGACTAATCTGTGTAAAAAAAGAAAGTGAAGACATATTACATTAAAGAGTAAAAGGAGAACATGCAAGAGCAACGAAGACGAAACTGAGAAAATCCTAGATATTATCATGTTTATAGTGACAAAAGTAAGGCATGAAATGAAAATGTGAAGGATCTCTATGACTATTTTGTAATTTCAATGATTTTGTCTCAGGTGAGCACTATTTGGAAAATATGAAAGGAAAAATTACTAGTTATATGTAATTTAAATCTGGTAATCATTTTTCAACTATATGGAAAAGAATGGACTGTTAAACTGAACACTAGTAATGGTTTTAATTGGGCACATACATTGTGGAATTATGTTGGTGAACAACTCATCAAGACTAACGGTCTTGCCTGACTGAAAACGAAGCCACTTGTCGATCCAACCTCCTATACAAAACTACATGTTTAAATTAGGCATTACTTGAGCAAACGATTGCATACATGTAACATTAGTACACATCAAACATGACAGGTGTCTTACAAAATAATAAAAAGATCCAACTTGTCGTCTTCTGATAAACACTTGAAAATTTCCCTTGAAATTAAAGGATTTTTGTCAGAACAATGAATTTTATGTTGGTATGTTATTTTAATGAAACCAATCATTTATAAGTTCTGAACAAAAAAAGGAAGAGACGGTAGAACAGTCGTAAGGAAATCATAGCAAAAAAAACTGTTTCGAGGGAAAATTACAAAAGAAGGGAAACCAAGGCATTCACCGACTTATAACAATCAAATTGCGGAGTATTCATGGGTTTTTTGGTAACTTAGTAATAGTTAGCTGCATTATAGCCCAATCTCCCTATTTCGGAAAACTCTGGGATTTTCCACAAAGTCGTGAGAAATATGGTAGTTTTTCCCAACCTTCGAAAATTTTGAGGAAACGCCCAAAAATGTCATAAGATTCTGTGGAAATATTGGGGAAAATCCTAAATTTCCCCCAGAACTGCGGATTTTCTCCAGTCCTGTAAATTTTGGGGTTTTATGCCAATTCCCCAAAAGTTTTCTATTGCGATTTCCTCAAAGTTTACCCGAACCGGACAAAATTTTCGCCAAAATAGGGAGAGTGAAAGACGACAACATGGTACTGAATTGTCTTTTCTTTCAGAGAAGTCGTTTGAAAGGGTATTATCTTGGAGTCTATAGATTTATTCACTCACATCAGGAGTCTAGTTTCTGATAACCCTTATCGGATTTGAAACGACCACAAGCTCAAGTATGCATAACTTAAATAGTCCGTGGTACAACGGACTTCCTCAATGAACGTTCTTTGAGGAAGTTCATGTAGATTTAGTAACCTTTGAATGATGCACTTACGTTTAGTTACTAAAGAAACTGATAACAATTAGCTACGACACAAGCGTTAAATTGACACATATTGACGAACGAAAATACGATTTGATAAAGTTTCGAAGAGATTTAAAAATAGTATCCGCAAATGCAGGGACTGACCTTGGAGAACTTCAAATTTTAAACTCATATATATTGTTTAGTGAAATTGCTAAAATATTAGTTCTTCGAATGAAGAATGAGTTAAGCTATGGGTTCCTGTACAATTTTTGCAACTTGTCGAGCATTTTGAATGTCTTCACTTATCAGACGTGAACATGTTTCAGTTTCCCCAGACAACCGAAAAAGGGGAAATAAAGGCGAACAAAGGGGAAATAAAGGGGTAAATGCTTTGGTTGCGAAAGGGGAAATAAAGGGGAAAACGCATCAGAATGTCGCCTTTTTTCGCCTGTCCGGGGGAAATAATGCGGATTTCCCCCTTTTTTCGCCGCTTTGTCGATAAATTACCGACTTATCGCCTAAATATCCGCAGAATTGTCTAGTTTTTGCCTAAATACACACAGAACCCCCTATTTTCTATCCATTGACATAACCCCAAAGACCTCCTATGTTCGCCGTTATTTTCCAAACTGATCAGTTTG